CCCCCGAATTGTGGCAGGGGAATCTCCGCCACCCCACCCCAGGACTGCGACACTCAGCCACTTCCAGCCCTTTTCCTGTTGTTTGCTTAGAGCCGCGGTGTCAAACTCATTTGTGAAGAGGGCCGGATCTGACACAACTGAGACCTTGTTGGGCCGGGCCATGCGTGTCATAAAATGTAATGCCAGGTAGCGGAGATAAAAACTTTATAAAGGACACAAACACAAAGTTTTTTTTTTACTTAAGCTAAAAACATGCTTAAAACATTAGCTCTGTAAACTGCAAACCTGCTTTTGATTTATCGACATTCACCACCGAAATCTCCTGCTCAGAGTTCTGAGTCTCGGACCCAGGTTGAAACATGAAATGGCCGAGTGATTGAGAGAGTCTGACGAAGCAAACGATGATGCAGCAGCAGCAGCAGAACTGGAAGCAGGAGAGGGCTAGTTCCACTGCGTGCCTGATGGAAGCCCTCCGGGGGCCTGATCCGGCCCCCGTGCCGAATGTTCGACAACCCTGGTTTAGAGAGATTAGGCGAGAGCCTCGGTAGATTGTCCTGTAGGTGACAGAACCCGCCACCTCTGAAGCCCAACTCTGAGGCCAGAGCAAAAGATGAGCTCCAGATCAAGGAACGTGGGAAGCGAGAGGAAAGGAAGCAGTGGCTCTCTTAGGGCTGCCAACTCTGGGCTGAGGAATTCCTGGAGATCTGGGGGTGGGGTTTGGAGAGTGTGGGGTTTGGAGAGGGGAGGGCCCCCCGGGGGTAGAATGTTCTGAAATTTGCCCTCCAAAGCAGCCATTTTTTCCAGGGGAGCTGATCTCTGTAGAGATCAGTCTGGAGATCAGTTGTGATTCTGGGAGATTTGCTGAGCCCCCTCCCCAAACCCTGCCTTCCTAAGGCTCCCCCCCCAGATCTCCTGCCCAGGCTCCTCCCCCCCAAATCCCCAGGAATTCCCTAACCCAGAGCTGGCGACAATGGGTCCACCATGTTCTGAAGATCGAAAATTGGTTTGCGTCACGTGTGCCGGCCCTTCTTTCCTCCCTCTCCTGACACACAGATGTGCGTTCTCAAACCTTGGCTGACCAGAGGGGTATTCCAAAACTCCGCATTGCTCAATGTTAAGGAGGATTAGGGCGGGTTTCTGTTTGCCGGCTCTGACTTGCAGCTGACCTCTTGCAAAGCTCGTTTCGAGCAGCCGGCTGGCAGAGAGGAACTTTGCCTTCCTCCGGCAGTTTAGGTTTTGCAAAGTTTATTTTAATCAGCAGAAATCCTTGCAAGGGTTTGATTGAGCGACTAGGCCAGGGATGGCCAAACTGTGGCTCGGGAGCACATGCGGCACTTTCACACATATCTTGCGGCTCTTGGCAGGGCGGCTGGGGAAGCGAAGGGGAGGCATACTTTCTCTCCCTCCCTCCCATCTATTTGCTTTGTTTCTCTTTCTCTTTCTTTCCACCTCTTTCATTCATTCTTTCTTTCCATCTCTCTCTTTCTCTCTCTCTTAGACAAATCAATATCATTAGTGTATAGAAATATTGATCTCTAAAAGTCCATGCCTTCTCCTGTGATTACATTCTGATAACATGCTGTGCCCTGTTTCCTCTTGCTAGCCACATGGTAAGGCCAAATGGCCTCGATAGCCATGCCACAAACCCACATTCTTTCACACTTTCATGCCAAAAGCCAGGCCCACATGCGAGAAGTCACATAGGCCCTGAAGTACCTGGAAACTAGGTCAATTGCTTGCAGGCGTAGCCTCCAAACTTCTAGCCATTCCTGTGTTGCAGCTATGGCAACCAACAATTGGACACACCTATGTCCACTCGCAATTGGCTAATAGCCACATCTAATTTGTGACTGGAATTGGGGTATAATTGTTTGATCCCAATGAGAGAGCCTCTCTCTCTTGCTCTCTGCTCCTGTTCTCTCTGCTTGTTTTATTGCACCTGAAATGCAGCCCTTGAGGGACAAAGGACTGGCCTTGTGAATTGGACCACATGGTTGAGCAAAGGGGGGGGGGGCGCATGCTTAGCTTCGGAACGCTCCCTGTTATTTTACCTCTCCCTCCCAGGTGTGCCCCGGAGAGCTTGCGCACGGGGGTTTTCACCAGCGCCTCTGACGTGTGGATGTTCGGGGTCACCCTCTGGGAGATGTTCTCCTACTGCGAAGAGCCGTGGATGGGCTTCTCCGGGCGTCAGGTGAGGTGAGGCCAGGGCTCTGAAAAGTGGCTGCCGCTTCCTGTTCGCTCCCTCTCCCAGGCTTGAAGCCGGTGAGTCACATATTTGGGTGAACATACCGGCTCATCTCAGCCCTGTGACCTGGGGAGCGCTGATCCCAATCTCCCTCAGCCAGGAAGTCACCCAGCCGCCTCGGGCAAAACCTCCCAAATAGGAGGCAAGGGGGATAACCACGCTGGCCTTCTTTGCAGGGCTGTTGTAAGAATTCCTGAGCACTGGGCGGCACTTAACTTAATTGACCTTTGCCCTGGGAATTTAGGCCCTAATTTATCCGATTCAGACCAGACTCCATTCGTGTGGTCTCCCAGAGTGCCTTTCATCAGTCCAAGTGTTTTACAAAGGTATGAATCCTTCAAACAGTCTGGCAAGGTAGACCAGTACCCTTATCCTCAGGTTGCAGACTGGGGAGGTGGAGAGTGAGTCTGAGGTCTCTCCCCCGGAGGAGTTCATGGCAGAGGCAAGGCCCAAAGACCTCTGTGAGAGAGGGAGGCATTTGAGGGCTGAAGTGCTGCTTTAGACGTGGGTGGAGAACTCTGTTTCTTGGCATTAAAAAAGATTCCACGCAAATGGAAGAGCTGTGCACACGTCTGCTCCCTCTCTTTGCTGGCTTGCTGGTTTCTGCTTCCAGGGAGTTTTTCACATAGGGGCGCAGCGAGCAACCAGGCAAGATGTGGCCTTTTTTTCAGCAGCAGCACTGAGACGCTGGAACTCCCTGCCACAGGAAGTTCATCTCGCCCCTTCTCTGCTAGCATTCCACTAACAAGCCAAAAGGCTGCTTTTCGAGCAAGATTTGTGTGGAATTTCTCTCCACCCATCTCTGGATTTTTAAAAAAGTTCTCCTCTGTGGATGTTGCAGGTTTTATCTGGGTTTTAATGGGTGTTCGGAGCTGCGGTGGCTCAAGTGGTTAAGACGCTGAACTGCAGGCTGTGGAAGGTCAGTAGTTCAGCAGTTCGAGACCCGGGTGCCGCATGACGGAGTGAGCTCCCGTCTCTAGTTCCAGCTCCTGCCAACCTAGCAGTTCGAAAGCAAGAAATTGCAAGTAGATAAATAGGTACCACTTCGGTGGGAAGGTAACAGCGTTCCGTGAGCCTCGGTGTTTAGTCATGCCAGCCACATGACCACGGAAATGTCTTCGGACAGCGCTGGCTCTTCGGCTTTGAAACGGAGATGAGCACCGCAACCCTAGCGTCGGACTCGACTGGCTTTCGAGCAAGGGAACCTTTGCCTTTACCTTTTTTTAATGGGTGTTCATCAACTGCAGTTTGCTGATTTGGGGACTGTTACCAAATCAAAACGTGGGAGATGCCGTTTACTTCAGCACCGATCGACACCAGCCTTCCCCCTATGCTTCATCTGCAGATCATGCTGAAGATCGACAGAGAGGGGGGACGGCTGGAACGCCCCGATGACTGCCCCCGGGGCATCTACGCCCTGGTGCTGAAATGCTGGGCCCACAACCCAGAGGAGCGGCCCCGTTTCCGGGAGATTGTCAGCTTGCTGCAAGAGGTGAGAGCGGTGATGCAACGTGCCAGGGGCTGACCGCGGTGGTCTCGTGTTCTGCATCCAAAGGAGAATTCTGTCATCTTCCAGAGTGTGCATTTGTGTGCAAAAGTAGGCCTACCCCAGAGTAAGTCAGTGGAGGCCATCTTTGGAGGCTCTGCTCTGGGCTGGGGTTTGCCAGCTCTGGACTGGGAACTTCCTGGGGATTAAGGGGTGAAACTTTGGGCTGCCGGGCTCAGCATGCCTCTGTCATTTGGAGATCAGAAGTCTTTCCAGGAGCTCTCCAGAACACACCCAGAGGTTGGCAACTTTTAAGTTGA